ATACTTGATTATCATATTATAATGCTTGACTGACTGATATTAAGAGTGTACTTTCAGATATTTAAAAAGCTGTACCATATAATGTATTATATAATGTTTGAAAAAATATTACCAACTTTAATGGGTTTAATTTATATTTATTTTAAAATATCACTAAATTAGGATATTTATTTAGGATTTTGTGTCACAATTAAGTCAGTGTAGTTGCAACTCATTTGTCAATCACTATTGGAGGTGTTATATTGGTAATTTTTAAAGGGATAGTTCTGTAATTAATTACTCACCCTCGTGTTGTTCCAAACCCGTAAGACCTTCTTTTATCTTTGGAACACAATTTAAGATATTTTTGATGAAATCTGAGGGCTCTTTGACCCTCCCATAGACAGCAAGGGAACTACCACAGTCAAGGTACAGAAAAGTACCAAGATGATTGACAAAGTGACGCAAGCATGTGGTGGCGCCGGCACTGACCCAGATCCGGCGTGATGACGTTGAACACAAAGCACAAGGCATGGCGCATGTGTTCAACGTCATCACGCCGGATCTGGGTCAGCACTGTTGCTGCCACATGCTTGTGTCATGGTACTGTCCTGAACTTTTGGGTGAACTATCCCTTTAAATAGTTATGTTTCTAAAGTGTCTATTCATGTATTGTTCATGTTTTCATATTTGTTTGTATTTGCAGTATGTATGCCTGGATACTGCAATGCCTCGCCAGGAGGTATATTCGCAGACTTTGCGAGTAAATAAAAGGGCCATGGAGCTGATGGTCCGTCAGGCGTTCTGCAGAGCAAAAAGTTGCTCTTTTAAAAAAAGAGCTCCAGGGTACGAAGATCAAATTGGAAAATGCTCTACAGCAGCTGGAGGTTGTCCAGGCATCATTCAGCTGTGCATGTGATGGTAAGCATTTAGTTTTGTTTTGTCATGTTGTAATTGTGTAATATTTTTGTACTATGTAAATGCAATCTGTGCTTTTTGTTGGCTGAAATACAGTTAAGTGCTCAAACCACTGATCTATAATAGAGAACCAGATTGACTGTCATAAAAAGTTAAGCCGCCATACTGTCATATTGGAATTTTGAAGTATTTACACTCATTCTATTGAGATAATGTGATATATATATATATATATATATATATATATATATACATACATACATATATGCTGTAAACTGGTTCCTTTTGGGTCAAGGTTTTGGCTGTCAGTCAGTGATGCCCTCTATCAGTGAGGAATAGTAATATAGCTTGTTAGTGACTTCTGGTGATTTTACAGCCTGATTGCAGTTAAGAAAATTATAAGCAATCCAGTTATTTATATAGATCAGTGGGTCAGACTCAGTATAAATACTACAGTAACAGTGAGTTTTGAGGTTACACTATTAGTTTTCAAAGTAAGATATGAAATGTTAATCATGTTATGTTATTTCATCACAGTTTAAGAAGAATATTACTGGGTATAGTATAGAAAATTGCAAGTGAACATTTAATATGTAGGACTTCATACAACTGACTATTAAACATTTGGGCACTTGGTGTATAGATTGTAGACATGGTGTTATATATGAGTTGATGTTGATTGCATGATCTAGTGTGAAACAAAAGGTACTGTCATAATTAATTTGTATTTCTATATGTGTGCAGATGTGACTGAAGCTGGAAGTCAGCAGACTGACCCTGTGAAGATCAGTGAAGAAGCCTTTACTGAGAGTGAAACTGTTAATAATTAATGGGGATGAGGGTAATGGGGATTAATTAATCAACATATAAAGTAAATTTGATTTAGTTAGAAAATAAAGATAATTTTAATTGGTTATGTTTCTTGTGGTTATTGGTTATTTAGTTTGAGTATGTGTGTGTTTTAGAAAATAATGGGAGGAACAGAAATAGGGTTAAAGTTTTTACCCAACATATAGCCTTTTGTAAATAAGAGATGGATTTCTTTGCAAAGGTAACATAGACTAATAATTTTTCTTTGTAATACTATTACCAATGATTATTGATTACTGATTTTGAACTCCTGCCAGAAATTAAGAAATGACTGTAATTGCAACAACTTTTATCATAAAGAGTGGCCAAATATCTAGTTAAAATAAGAACTGAAGAAACAGTTCAGTTCAGTGGAGAATCAATGAGCTGATCAATCAAGCGGTTTACTTGAAATAGGGGCGAAATGTTTCTTTATGGTTTCTCAGGGTTTGTGTAAAAAGGTCAGTTGACTAAGACTAGTCACTTTGCTTTAGACAAAAAATATATAATTAATGGTTGTTTTCATAATAAAATTGTCTATACATGAAGTACGCTAATTGTGTGATTACGTAAATGAACTAGTGAATCGTTGAAGCAATTTATGAACGAACCAGTTTGTGGTAAATAATTGGAATACCATAATAATAAGTAGGCCTATTTGTAGCCTAGATAAAGGGCTGTTCTAACTTGATGAAAACAGTCTTCTAATCAGGCGATTATATGAAAACAGTACACTTTTGAAACATAGTAAATTCTTTCCATAGTCATTCAGTGGCGGTTCTCATGCTTTCAGTCTTTGTAATCGTCCTGCCCATCCAGGTGATGTGTCGTTCGCGAGTCGGATACGAGCCGGCTCCTTCAGTGAGCGGTGAGTCTTGTTCCCGTTTGAGAGCCCTTTTCACTCTTGTATATTAATATAAGACAGAATAATATGATTATCCTCTGATGTGTATATGCTTGCGATCACGTGTTATGACTTTACTCCGCCGCTCTTGATTCGTCGCAATCCTATGGTCACAATACAGTATGGCTACACATTATCATACAGTCACTGCATGGAGTGTGTGTGGTCGAGCAGTGCGGCGAAAAGATCGCCCTTAATATTAGGTCAGAAAGCAAGATGAGTAACACGCAAACGAAATAGCATTTGGATGCATTTGAATAAAATAGACAACAAAGGCAGAACGTAAGGTAAAAGTATCATATCGAGCGAGAAGAGTCTGGCTGCAGACTTGCACTTGCACTCTCAGACTTGCACTCTCAGACTTGCACTCTCAGACACTTGTGCTTCCGCAATTGACGTCACTTGCAGTCTTTTTTATTTTGTTCTATTTATTGATTACTTTCTGTTTGAATCTCTCAACATTTTACAACAGTAGCCAGGTGGTGAAGACAAGAAAAAAAGAAACTAAATTCGTGCATGTTGCCAATGGAGACAAGAAGCTGTGGTGGTGATTTGACAGCCCTAAGTGTTTATGTTTTTCTACAGGAGGAAAACGCTTAACGAGAGACTTTGCACATTGCGTTCATATTCTGTTGTTCTGTGGCCACAGATTTGCGGGTCTTGTCTTTTTCTGCTACAGATGACTTGCAGGACCCTGTATAGTATAGTACTAAATTAGTTTTAATTGTTTAACCACAGCGTCTTGTCTCCATTGCTCCTGTATGTACATGGGTACACACCGATGTTGATGACATATGTGTGGAAGGGAGTAAGCTAGCCACATATGTACAGGTGCATCTCAATAAATTAGAATGTCGTGGAAAAGTTGGTGTGCTTGACTGGCCAGCAAACTCACCAGACCTGAACACAATTTGAGTTGAATTACTGAAATAAATGAACTTTTCCACGACATTCTAATTTATTGAGATGCACCTGTAGGTGAGGCAAGCCAGAAAAGAGACCGTAAAAAGGAGTTGTGTAAGTTGATTGAACAGCACAATGTGTTTGGCAAGAATTGGTCTGCCAGTGTACAGAGATTTTGGATCTTTAGAAGAGGACAGTGTAATGTATGAAAAGCTGCAAGAATATGTGTCTGCTAAACCTTCACAGCGCAGTTAGTGCCATCATTCATCACAAAGATTATTTTGTGGTGGTTGATTGTGCCACTCGTGATGTGTTTGGGATGGCATCTGCTATTGGCACATCTGTGGCTATTTTTAACACGTGCCTAAATGATCTGATGGTTCATATCAGGAATCTAAGGAAGTCTTTAGATGCACAGTGGTATGCCATTAGTAGCATTTCTGTGAAGATGGGTCAAGAAGATTCTGAGCTGCAGAGCGGTAAAGTGTTTACAGAGAATTATATTGACATCGAAGGTACTGCTGAGTTTGATAGCAGTTGTTTCAGGCTTAAAAGTAACAGTGTTGCCACTGAAGTTGCAGCTGAGGTTGAGGAAAGTTCTGTCAGGTTTGAAAGTAGCAAAAGTGGCACTGAAGTTTCAGCTAACATTGAGAAAAGCACTTCTGTCAGACTTAAAAACAGTATAAGAGGATAATTTCATCAGGGGAATGACCAGTTTAAATATGGAGGACTTCAATGTATGGCAATAGCTTTGGTAAGTCTAGCAAAACATAAAGTTCATAGTGTCTTTTCATGGCAGACGAAAGATGTTGACAGAGTTGTAGTTTTAGGTGATGAGTTGTACACAGCTTTGCGAGACACCGATAGGATTAGCCAGCGGTCCGATCTGTTGTGTGTTCATGATTTACCAAAAGAGACAGTTGTTGATGGAGAGAATTTTTTGTTTCAATATAGTGACTTTGTCAGTGGTGATGTAAATGTTGTTGAAGGTGAATTTATTGAGAGTGGTGCCTGCAGCAGTCTATCAGTTGGACTGGAAAAGGTTTTTGCACAGTATGACACGTCTTTTGACAGTGTGTAGCAATACGTGTGCAATCATCTCTCAAAACGGACAGTATGCATTGGTTGACTCTCATGCACGAAGTGCTCTTGGCATGATTGATGAAAGTGGAAGCAGTGTTGTTGTATATTTTTCTTCTCTTAAAGATTTGTACAATCACATTTGCCTTTTATCTACAGGGCTCAGTGAGCAACCTTTTGAAATAGCTGTTATCTGTGTCACTGTGAAATCCAGTCAATTGCTAATCATTTCAGCAATGACATATAAACCAAGTGATGACATTTGTTTGGGCCATTCACAAAGGCTTTTACAAATTCAGCATGTAAGTAGGTCTTGTGAAAGAGCAACTGTGAGTTGTAAAAGCCCTAACATGCCTTTTGCCACCAATGACTTGGCTTTGGAGAATGGTTCTTTTTCACAGCCAGATGCATCAAAAATTAAAAAAGCCGAACATACAAAGAGTTTAACTCTTACAGAGGGTAGTAAAGACTCTGACAAGACTTTTGAAATTGGGCTTGATTTGGCTTCTGCAAAAGATCTGCCAGTAAATAGTAATGTAAGAAACAAGCGTAAGATTTCAGTAAGGAATTGTACTTCGAAAATGAAAAAAATGTGATGTTATTAAAGATAATTCATATGTAGAATTTGTTAGTGATGAAGTAAATAAAAATATGATGTTTAGTCCTGTTTGTAAAAATGTCTGTCAAACTTTGTGCACACGTTTAAATGTGGACTTTGAAAAGGCAAATGTACCACTGTTTACACGTGTTGGCTTATTAGGAGCTCCATGTAAAAATGACAGTATAGTGGCTGATGGCAACTGTTTTTTCTGAGCCATCTCTCAAGCTGTGACTGGCACACAAAAGTATCATAGAAAAATACGAGTTGCTGTAGTGCAACAGTTGGAAAAAAATGGTGTAAAATACCAAAACATTTTGAGAACAGAGTATTCGTCAATGTCAGAGTACATCAATAAGTCCAAAATGCGATATGTTAACATCTGGGCTACGGAAGTTGAAATGCAAGCAACAGCGGATTATTTAGGAGTCAATGTATTTACATTTTTTGAAGGCCGTTGGTTAAAATACACTTGCAACAGTAAGCGTTTGTCAGATCAGAGTATCTACTTAGAAAACTGCAATGGAAACCATTATGAAACTGTAGTTTGTGTTTATGAGCCTGAATTACAGAGTTGTTATGGCTATTGCAAAACCAGTGAATCTTATATTACAGGGTACAATATTAGATCACACATTAAGAATGACAATAATGTTTTAGCTTTGGAAAACCAGAAGCAGGATTTTGAAGTGCAAATGCAGTTTAGGACTGAACAACAACACAACATATTAAAAACAGTGCAAAATGAGACCTGTGCAGCAGGAATGATAGTAGATTGTGATGTTGAAGTTGTGGGTGATTCTGATGTTGAAATTGTGGAAAATGCAGGTCAAATGACATACAAATATAGTCCTGTATCTACTGAAGTTGCACAAACAATATGCAATGAATTCAATTTGAATTTTGAAAGAGAATATATACAAGTATCCATTGTTTATGGGACTTTAGGCAATGTTTGTAAGACAAAGTTGTTAAGGATGGTAATAGTTTTTTAGAGCAGTAGCTCAAGTGATTAGTGGTTCTGAAAAGAGTCATCGGAAGTTAAGACTTGCTGTGGTCAAGTATATGGAAAATCACAGTGAAGAATACATGAAGTTAGTAGGAAAATAATATGCTTCAATATCAGAATATATTGCCAAGTCAGAAATGAAATATGTGGGTTATTGTGCTACAGATATAGAATTTCAAGTTACAGAAAATGCTTTAGGAGTGGATCTATTTATATGTAATGGTGGAAAATGGGTCAAATATGGTTGCATGAGGACAATGCTGAGATGTGATGGAATTTACTTAAAACATTGTGAGAATAATCATTTTGAGCCCGTAATTTGTGTCCAAGATGTTTATAAGAAGGTTTGCTTTAATTTGTGCAAAGTGGGTAATTTGCCTGAGACACAGTACATGTGTAGAATTCAAAATAATAAAAAAAAAACATGTAGAGATGACTGCAAATAGTAATAATAATTGCTTTTCTAAGTATTATAAAAGGAAATGGTCCTTACAAAAAAACATTAAATATCAGGAAAATGTGTTGTATAAGGAAAAGAAAAAGGCCATGAGCAAAAGGAAGTATCAGGAAAATGTGTTGCATAAGGAGAAGGTAAAA